GTGGTTTCCGCCGTGAGGCGCGGAGATGTGGAAACCCTGAAGGACCTGGCAGCATCTTCCTCCCTCAGCCTGCTGAAGGAAAACAAAGACGGGTGGCTTCCTCTGCATGATGCTGCCTATTCTGGCCAGACTGCATGCCTGAAGACTCTGTTGAAAGGTAAAAACAGAAATATAAATCCCATTTAAACCCTTTTCTCCACATTCCCAGCTATTAAGATGTAATTTATTAAAATTGGGAGATCCTAATTATTGTTATGGAGTGCTGTTTGCTACAGTAAAAAATTAACAGCAATAATTTTATTTATTTAGCCTGTGATAAAGAAAACAATGTAGGTGTTCATTTTTCAAAGTCATATTTTCTCCATTTTCTTAATATACTTGTCAATATATTAATACAACGTCTGAGTTCCAAACTAAATATTTAACTGCGACTTAAATACTTAGCTTTCTAATTAAATATGTAATTTGAACGTTAAATATTTCCTTTGTGAATTTAATATTTAGTTTGAAATTCATACACTTATATGTATGAATAACATGGTGAAAATATGACTTTGGTTTTGGCTAAATAAGTCAGATTACTGCTGTCATTTTTTACAGTGTGACTTTACACATTACATTCCAAAGTATAAAAAAAAGGGGGGAAACATTACATTTGGTTTTATCTCTCTGGTTATAGCAGCTTTGTTTATAAAGCACTTTAAAACCAACACTGTTGACCAAAGTCCTGTACACCACAACCAGAAAGAAAAACAAACAATAAAAATGCAACAACGGGAGAAAAAGTCAGCTGCAAGAGAAAACTATTATTAGCAAGCAGTTTCTGGATGGTAAGTCAACAACAAAACACTTCTCTTTTCCAGCAGCCATTGTAAAGCACATACAGAGGTAAAACCAGCTGACCAAGCATGCTGGAACTCTGTTTGTGTTGCTTGGTAAGGAGGCCGGACTTGCCTGGGGTTGCTAGGTAACGGTGCAGTGCCCATTGAATGTCACTTAACAATCAGGAGGTTTCCAGAAACAAAAAAAGCATGAATTTATGGTTTAATAAAATAGAGTTAAGATGAACAGAATGCCACTGCATTCGTTCTTATCCTCCTCAAACTGGAGAAAACTGTGGAAAATGTTAACCTGTTTTCAACTTTAACTGTTTTAAGAAGCAGTTTAGACCCAAATGCAAGTATAAAAAACATGCAAAATGTGAATTTTGAATAACAGATCCCCTTTAAAGAAGTTGAATGGTCGCCAGTGTTGAACCTTTGTTATGCTTACAGCTGCTTTGTGGGTGTTTTTTCTTGTGCTGCAGCCCATCCAGGCTCAGTGGACAAGCGGACGCTGCAGGAGCAGACTGCACTGCTGCTGGCCGTGTCCTGTGAACAGCTGCCCTGCGTCCAGTCGCTTCTGGAGTCAGGCGCCGACCCCGACATCTGCAGCAGCAACAAAGAAACTCCTTTGTATAAAGGTACAGCTGTGAAATCAGAGCTGCTAAGAAGCATGATGACGTGTGAAATGCTGAGTTCTCTGTCTTTACAGCGTGTGAACTGGAAAACCTCAACATGGTGAACGTTCTACTGTCACACGGTGCCTCTGTGAACCAGCGGTGTGCTCAGGGCTGGACGGCCCTCCATGAGGCCGTGTCCAGAGAAAACACGGAGATCTGTGAGGTTCTGATCCGAGCCGGAGCCACGATCAATCCAGCAAACACATACAGCATCACACCGCTCACTGTAGCCGCTCAGCGAGGCCTGAAGAGGGCGCTGTGTTACCTCACTGAGAGAGGTAGCTTCCTGAAGAAAACAGTCACTGATTTCATTCCGTATTAGGGTCATTGTACATAGAACAGAAAGGAGTACATTCCTGCCAAAAATATATTAAATTCTGAGAAATTTTCTAAAAAAAAAAAACAAGAAATTGTCTGAGTTTGCCAGGACTAAAATTTTCAAGAATGAATTCAGAAATTGTGATATTATATAATTTCAGAAATTTTCTAGAAAAAAAATGTAATATGCCTGAGTTCAAAAAGTTCAAACTTTTAACATTGATCTCAGAAATGTTCCAGAAAAACAAGAACATTTCTGAGTTTGGAAAGTCAAAGATTTAGTTAAAAAAATTCTGAAAAACTCAAAAGTTGAGAATTTGTGAGAAAAACATAAATTTTTAATCTCAGAAATGTTCTCTAAAAAAATCTGAACATTTTTGAAGTTGAAAAGTTTAAAATTTTCAACTTTAATACTTTGAAAGTATTTTTCTAGAAAATTTCATTGATTAATCTTAAAATTTCTCACAAATTTTTGACCTGAAAAACTGAAGTTTCCACATATTTTTCTGGAATTATTTTTAGATTGATCTCAAAACTTCTGAGCTTTTTATAACAAATTTCAGACTTTTCAGACTCAGAAATTTTCTGTTTTTAGATTAATTTCCCAAAAAATTTTGGCAGAAATTTCTGTTTTTCAATCTGCAAAACATAGATTTGCCTTACATTCTTTGGCAAATCTGCCATAGAATGTCATACATACATACATTTTATGTGTTGATACATACATAAACACATTTGCTATACATTTTAAATCCTGTAAAAATTTTGCTGTTTTTTCAGGTGCAGATGTGAACATGCAGACATGCGATGGTGTCACAGCGCTGCATGAAGCCAGTAGGAATGGACACCAGGAAGCCGTTGCTTTGCTCCTCTCTAAAAACGCAGATGCCAACATTTCTGATAACTCTGGGCTGCTGCCGCTGCACGTTGCTGCACAGTCTGGACACCATGAGTGAGTCTGCATGTCTCTTATTTTAACCGAAACCAGCAGGTTTACTAGGAAAGAGAGGGAAAAGTGTGAGCTTGCTTAACTTATGCTAAATGCATGTTAATGTCAAACATCAATATGGCGTCCAGTCCAGATTTTCTTACTTCTCCCTTTTCTTCCCATTTTCATTATTTTCTTGAAAAAAATAAAACAATTATATGTAATTTGTGTGCTTTATTCACTTGAATTTACAAAAAGCACCAATTGTACTTTGGGGCGTAGGGGGGGTTTACCATGTAATTTATCTAGACAAAAATGAGAAAAATTCTGTTACTTTGAAAATAACTCAGAAATTTCTAAATTAATCAAATATTTTTTTAAAATAAAAGAAGAAAAAATATGGACATTATTTGTTTGAGTAAAAAAAATTGCTACAAAATTCTGAGATTCATTCCAGAAATTTTGAGGGAAAAACTTGCGTTTGAAAAGATTTTCTATTAAAAATCTCACATTAGTTAAGAGTTTTCTAGAATTTGTATTTTTTATTTCTGAGTTTGAAAAGTAAAAAAAGGCTTTCGAAACTCAAATTTCCTACGTTTTTCTCAAAAAAGTATTTTAGATAAATCTCAAAATATTGTTTTAAAAATTGAAATTTTTCTATAAAACTGAAATTTTCTAGAACAAATAGAAAATGTCTTAGTTTGAAAATCGAAAAACTTTAGGAAATTTCCAAGTTTTTCTCTTGAAAGTTTGAGATGAATCTCAAACCTGTCAGGTTCCGAACTGGTTCTGTGATCACATGTTGTGTTTTCAGGATTGTTTCCCTGCTGGTCTCCGCTACCAGCCGCACCAAGCTGCGCCACAGCTGGATCAGCCCGCTGCACCTGGCAGCGCAGCATGACCGCCACGCAGCGGCCGCCGCGCTGCTGAAATCAGGCGCGGACGTGAACGCCACTCTGGCGCACAGCCGCTCCGTCCAGTACGCGGACCGGCGCGCCACCGCTCTCTACTTCGCCGTCGCCCACGGCAGCAGGAGGACAGCGGAAGTGCTGGTGAACGCCGGTGCGAGCCTGAGTCTGGATCCGGTCAGCCCTCTGCTGATGGCGGCGCGTCAGGGCTGCGTCAGCACCGTGACGCTGCTGCTGGAGCGAGGCGCGGACCTGGACGCCACGGTCCCGTCTTTGGCGACCACATTCCCAGCTCTGGTTGCGCTCTGCAGGAATAATCTAACTGTGTTGAAGTGCCTTTTGGACCACGGCTGTGACGCACAGGCCTGTTTCACCTGTACGCACGGTGCTGCGCCCCACCCTCTATCCAGAGGATCTGACGTAAGAACTGCTGGCGGCCATGACGGTCTACCTCCTTTAAGCTGCGATGAAAGGCCAGAGCGGGAGACACAGGTGGGCAAAACCAACAACCACATTTCACACTGACAATAGGCAGAAATGTGAACTTATTTAATTTTGCTACTTCTGTCTTCTGGTCTTTTTCTCTTCTGCTTTTTTAAAAGCCACTGTTTAAGTCCCAGATTTCCACACAAATAGATGAATACAGAATCAATAGAGCTTCATGGTTTTGGGATTTTCATGAAGATTGTTTGGCTTTTTTATGGTTTTCAGTTCTGCGAGTGGATCTCAACCCCAGCTATGTGTAAATGGGCCGGCCCGGTCATACACCTGCTGCTGGATTACGTCGGCCATGTTCAGCTCTGCAGCAAACTCTCTGCGCTCCTGGACAGCAGAGACGAATGGCGCGCCATCAAAAGGAAGTCATGTAGGTTCCAGATAAAGAAAACACTTTGCTTTCATTTCCTCATAGAAAAATACTTTACTTTTTTTAACAACAGTTCTTATCTTGTCTTCCAGTGTCACCATGTTCACTTCAACACCTCTGCAGACTAAGGATTTGGACTCAGATGGGGAGAAACAGGAAATCTGTTACAAGTTTGCCTCTGCCAAACAGACTAAAAGCATATCTGAGTCCTGATGGCTGATTTCAAACAGATAAACCTCAGATTTTAGTCTTTTTATTCACCACTATATTTATCTTCCTGTTTCTTTTTTTAGTCGTATCTTCAATCTGTTCTTTCTAAATATCTATTTATACTTGAAGCGATGTGACAAGGCCTTTTAATCTGTCATTTGCGTTGTGCTGTTTAGAAACCTTCAGAGACAGCTGCCAAAAGGATTTCTTGAGGGAATTTGAGTCTTTTATTTAAAAATAAATCATTTTGGCAAACATTACCTGACAAAGAGAGATTTTTCTTGTTAAAAGGGGGAACCGTGACAGAGTACAAAAAAAACACATTATTTTCTTTCTCTGTGGACACAGAGTGAAAATAAACATAAAAGTGAAGCTGATTAGTTTATTGGAAAAGTGCAATTTATTCCTGTAGGCGTAAACATCACAAATAGATGCAGCATTGTAGTAAGTGCTTTTAAAGAAGTGTCCGGTTTCCAAAATACAAGAGAAAAAGCATAAACATGGAACAAAGCTCACAGTTTCACCTTCTCATTTCTGGGGTGGCGTTTGTCAATACACACACTCAAAAATTCACAGCAATAATTTGGGTTGTTTAGCCTAAGATGGAAAAATGGGGTTTACTTTTCAAAGTTTTCACCATGTTATTCATTCTTTTATGAATGTCAGTTTCAACTAAATATTTAAAGAATATTCTAGCAAGCTAAATATTTACTTTACAAATAAAGTAAATGTTAATTTATTGTATTTGAAGAAAAAATATTTCGAAATGCAAATTAAATATTTAGTTAGCAACCTAAATATTTAGCTCTGAATCCATATTTAGCTTTTAACTACATATTTATCTCCAAACTAAATACTTAGCTTGCTAAGTAAAGCTAAATACTTACCTTGCAAACTAAATATTTAACTCAAAAATAAATATTTAGCTCAGTGTTAAACATTTAGTTAGCAAGTTAAACATCTAGCTACACCAGATTTTATTGAATATTAGCTAAATATCTAACTCTGACTCTAGCTAAATATTTATTTTCAAGCTAAATGTTTAGATTGCTAAGTAAATATTTAGCTCAGGCGTTTTCAAAGGTCAGCAAACCCAGCTTTTATTTTGACAGACACTTCCGCCTACAGGCAAGTAAATATTTAGCTGTTTGGGTCAGAGCTAACTTGGTTCCTTTGAGCTAATTAACTAAATATTTAACAATCAACAGAATATTTTGTTTGCTCAGTTAATAACTAGAATATTTAATTCAGCTTGAAACAGTAATTTTGTAAATAAATATGTGGGGGAAATGACTAAAATGACCTTTTTCTCTCTCACAGGCTAAATGACCCAAATTATTTCTGTTAATTTTTGTCTGTAACTTTACTAACAGCACCGCAGACTAAATGAAGCCAAACACGCTGAAGATCGGAGACTGCGCCGTGGCCTTGGTGGGAATCGGTTTCACCACAACGTGCGTGTGGAGTTTCTGTCCGTGGGGATGCTCGGGCCTTTGCGGCTCTGCTGCCTTGCTCCACAGACCAAAGGGAGGATGCGGAACCACAATCTGGCTGTGGAGGAGCTGGTGTCCTTGGAGCTGGAAGGGGCAGCAGCTGCAGAAACTCACGGAGCGATGTGAAGTCAGATCCAGTTTCAGCACCTCTTTTTCCGCAGAGCTGCGCCTGCCGAATGAGGAGTTTGCGGTTTTTTGCGCGTCCTCCTGACTCCTTCTCCTCTTTTCATTCTCTCCGCCTTCAGAGCTGCTGCTGCTTCTTATCAAATCCAAAAAGGGTTTGTCTCTCCTGGCTTTGGTTAGCCTGGGTTCCTCCCAAAACGACGCTGGTAGTTGTCGTTTCCGCATCGGCACCTGGTCCATTACGCCTCCGTCGCTCTGCGCATGTTGCGCATCGGAGCTGGCCTGATCAGTCGCAGCCGCTCTTTTACGCTCAGCTCCTCTGGCGCACCTGTAGTCCGCAGAAGTGAGAGACTGACCTCTCGGGACTCTGGAGAACTTTTGTGAGAAGCGTTTGAGTTGCTTCTGTAGGTATTTCCGGTGATCCACGGAGCGCCTGCAGGGAGCCGACTTATCCAGAGCCGCCTTGATGTCGCTGGACGCCAAATTGACAAAGTTGAGTAAAGTTTTAACTTCGCTGTCTGCGCTTGACATCTTTACCAGAGGCTATTTGGCTCACTTCATGAGTCCATTGTAGAAATATGAGCCATAATTCACGTACACAAACTGTAAAATATCATAAATTAGTTTTGCGTAATTGCGCACCACTAAATCTCCGTTTTTTAAACTCAAGCTCACCGCTTTAGTCGAAGCGTCCCTCCGGACTGCAGAGGTACTTCAGGAAGCTGAATGAATATAAACCCTTTGTAGTTATGCTCATTCCCTTGAACCAATCAGCGACCCCAGACCCCTCACAATGCACTCCAATCAGTCTCCAAGCGCCTTGGTATCAAATTCTTCACCAGCGCAAATTGCTGCCATGGAGATCTGGAAAGCCCAGCCCTGGAAACGCGATATTTCCCCCCAAAAAAACCGCTTCTAACTCTGCTCCTTTTACGCAAAATAATTGAACATAAATGCAATATATCGTATTGGACATGCTTTAACTTCCTGTTGCACGGGTTAAAGTTGAGGTTTAACACCTTCCGCATGATGTCAGCTGTAGGATTTGGCGGCGGTGGGGGGATCTAAAGAGCGCATAACCATGGAAAGGGGCTTGAACGCTCAAGAATCTTGTCTTTCTGTTTGCCCCCTCAATCGAGCGACACAAAGGCTGAATTACTCATTCAAACCTGGCGGGACAAAGGGGAAGGAGCTGGATAGCACTCCTGCATTTGTAGTCAAACATTTAGAGACTTAAATCGAGTCGTCATGAAGGAAAAAAGACTCGGACAAAGCCCATAGAATTGCCATCAGCAAACATTTTCCTGTGTCATATTATGGTGTCTCCATGGCTCCCTCTGGCCGGAGGACAATGGCACAAGTTTGCACACTCGAATACTGTCACCCTGCCAACCGCAACAAGAGCCCAAAACAGGACAATCCCCAGAAAAGCATGGGCTCCACGGGGAAGGCTGCGGCGGGCGGAGGGGGAACAGGACTTGTGAAATGCTAATTGAGCTTCATCCCTTTATTGAGCTGGGAAGTGTCGTTCTGCTGGAGCAGCAGCTCAGGAAGGAGAGGAGAACAGAAACTAATACATATATATATTAAGTATAACACTTAAAAATATTAAGTGTTATACTTTTTTTTAGATGATCTCAGATATTTTCAAAAAATCTGAAATTTTGAGATTAATCTGAAATTTTCTAGAAAAAACTTGTATCTTTTTTGAGTTTGAAAAACACATTTTCTAGAACCTCTTCTCCAAGAGAAGTTTCTTAATCCTAGTTTTAAAAATATTTGTTCTTTTTCTAGAGCTTTTCTAGAAAAACGTTTTTACAAGACATTATTTCACTTTTCAAACTAGAAAATTATTTTCTAGAATTTGTTTTTACATTTGAGAGCAGAAATTTCCTTTGATTTTTCTAGAAAATTTCTAAGAAAATGGAATTTCCGAGTTTGAAAAGTTGAAAATTTGCTGGAATAAAAACTTTAACTTTGAGATTAATCTTAGAAATTTTATAGAAATAACTAGAAAAAAGTTTTATAGAAAAAAGTAATATTTTGTGTAGAAAATCTCGTATTTTTTAATAAACCAAAAATGATCTTAAAAAAATGAAATTTCAGTCTCAAAAGTTGTGTATTTAGAGAAGGATAGAATCCTGCGCTGCGTTTAGAGCCGTTGTTGTGTGGCTGGTTCCTCTGGTTCTGGAGCGGCAGTCGGGCCCCATTGTCCCCATCTCTTCTCCTCTGCCTCACCTCTGTTTCACTGAAAAGGCTGGTCAACAATGGGGACCCCCGCCGTCCACCCACCTGTCACCCACTCCTGCGCTTTTGAAGTGAGGAGGAAAGAGAAGGAGGAAGCACATCCAGCATCCATCAGTGGTTGGGGATAAAAATGTTTGTGGCTCATTTCAGGCATTTCTTGGTTTGAGTGTCTGAACTTTTTCCACTTTTACACAGATTTTATTCTAACTCTGGATGACCTACGCTGCAAAAACACAAGGTAATGTTTAGGTTCATTTACCTAAACATTCTCACACAGAAGAAAAGAAGAAAGAGACAAGTGAGTTTTTAGAATTTCTTCCAAGGAGAAAGGTCAGGAACTTGCTTCAGTTACAATTTCCTACATATTCTGAAGCATGCTCTGCCTCACCCTCTCTTTTTATTTCTTTAGGTTACATAGCTTGTGCGGTTATCATGCGATTACAGACGTGTTGCCCCTGTGGGCTGCCGTAGTGCAGAGTTCAGTTCCTGTTCACTTCCTTCTGTAGCAACAATGCAGGAACTGATCAACTTACAGTACTTAAAGATATAAATGGGTATTTATATGGGATATTTATTTACAATTCTAACACATTACCAAGTGTTTTTGTTTAGTTTCTAATACAAATCAGACAAAACTGACTTGTAATTAACTTTTTACCAAGATGTAAGAGTTTATTTTAAGTCACTCTTAAGACATTTTTTTGTGTTATAAGTGAAATAATCTGTCAGTGGAACCAGTAATTTCTCATTAATATTAGTAAATTATTCACTTAAAACAAACTCCTATGTCTTGCTGAAAAGTTACTTATAAGTTAGTTTTGTCTTATTTCAAGTGAACAGAGATGTTTCCACCAAAAATACTTGGTAAGATTTGGTGTTTTTATGTGGCAATTGACATACAAGTTCATTATAAATCTTTAAATCCATGCAAACTATGCAGAACTCTGAAACAGAACAGCGTCATTATTTTTATTTTTCATTTAAAGCACTAAAAATAAAACTCAGAATTAAATGAGCATGATATGGTTCACACTCCTGTGACTTTACATGTAATCATTCAAGAAAAAAACGACTAAGTTTGGAAAATTAAACCGAATATTTTATGATTTTAGTTCTGTTTTCAAGATGAGTTAGAGGAGATTATAATGCAGATTGAAGCCTCTCTGTGTTTCAGAGCTGGTGGCCTATATGAGATATTTAAAGCACATAATGTTGCTTTGTTTAGACTTCTTCTGTGTCAGTCTGTCAAATGACTAAATATAGAGTCCTGAGGAAAAGTTTTAAACTTTCTTCTTGTGTTCTACTTTCCTTTCAAGCAGTTATTTTATAAACAAGAAAGAGTCACTTTACATTTTAAACAGATGAATTTTGAGGTTAGATTTGAACATGCAAATCTGTGTGTTTGATTTTGTGTGGAAGCGAGTTTCAAATGCAAACTGAGCTGCAACTAATAATGTTTTATTCTGACAATTAATTTTATTTTTTAAAATGAAGAATTCTACAGATTTTTCACAGAGCCAATTAAGATTAATCTAAATGGATTTAAAAATATTGTAAGTATTTAACAAAAAGTATATTCTATAAAATATTTGTAAAATGTTTTTCTTCTCAAATTTATATTTTATTACAACTTTAAAATTTAAATATTATTTTTAATAAAAATATTAAAAAATAAAATTAAAGGCTAACTTTTTATAATATATTTTTTAAAAATATAAATTAAAAATAATATTTTTATTACATTTTGTTAATATTTTAAAAATATTATTGGAAAACATAGTTTTACATAAGCAAATTATAAGTTGAGGAGTTTTGACCAGAATATTTTTTTTTCTTATCTTAATTTCACAATGTATATATTTTTTGTACAGTCTTCGCTTAACTAGTGCTCTGAAAATATTGTTTTCCAGTAAATTTGCTTTTTTTATGTGTATATGTGGAACCAGAACACTTTCATCAATATTAAGGAATTAATTACTTAAAATGAGCTCCTATTCGAACTTAAAAATCTACTTGTAAGTTAGTTTTGTGTCATTCCAAGTGTATTAAGATATTTGCTAGATAGCAAACCAAAAATACTTGGTAAGATTTTGTGGTTTTGCAGTGTAAATAGTCAAATCACGGTCCTACATCCAGCTTCACACTTTTCACTAGATGGCAGTGTACTTCCACTGCTTTCTGACCCACTGTACATGTTCAACCAGATCCAATAATGTTCACACACACTGATATAACAAGAGAGAAACACAGATAGAAAAGATAAAGGCAGCTGTGCTAATCTTAGCCGAACGTTATTATTCTGCGGCTGACTGAGGGATGTAAAATCTTTCTTTCATTTTATGCACTCGGCATTTTCAGGCTTTGTTTGCTAAGAGATGCAGATTACCTATCTTGGCAAGAAAGATAACAGTGAGAGACCACAGTAATTATATAAAGAGGCTTCCCTATCAGTTTATACGGCCGTGATGTATGTTGTGCCAGACTGCTGGTTGTTGGAATGAGGTGAGGTAGCAGGAAGGAAACAGGAGGATGTAGAGCTTTGCTCTTGTCAGATAATCAATACTGAGACTGACTGCTGGAGAGGATGGATGAGCAGGAGCTGCAGACTATATGCCAAGCTTCTTCTATCCTTCAAAACTCTGAAAAAGCTCTGCAAATGCAGCCTAACGTGCAGTGGCCGAGGATTTTCCACTCTAAAAGTCATCCACAGCTCTTTGTATGAGCTCATCCCATTACTGTCTGTGAAGTGCTTTTTGATAGGCAAGACATGTGATGAATGCTCAGTCACAACAAAAGGCTGCAGGGCTGGTTGCTGAATTCACTGATCTTAATCCAAACCGGTTTGAATCGTAGGCTTGGATGTTATTTAAATTATTTGGACTGAGCAGACTCGGTTGGCTCCCGTTTCAAATATTTAAACCCCCAGGAGAGGAGAGAGGACATTAAACTGCAACTTATTGAAGAAGTGCAAAAATGTTCATTTTCTAACACCCGGCGGAGTAGGGGGAGTATTTCTGCTTATTATTTGCTTTTAAAAAAGCAGAAAAACCTCATATTTTGACAGGTTTCTGGTTGAGGATCAGGGTTTTATTCTCTATGTCAATCAGACGTTTGAATGTCACGTTGGCTCCCTGGTACCATGTATGACTGGGGGCTAATTTCATAACTGTGCCCAGAGAAGACCACCAACAACATTATGCAACTCCACTCTTAAAATCCACCCATTGTTGTCTCATATCTTCCACTCTGCCCCACAGCATCACCCACTATTCACTCCAGCCAAACCACACATTTACATACAGCACAGAAAAAGAAAACCTTTCATTTCCACCGTCTGACTGCGTGCTTTCTTTAATTAGTTAATCTAAAGTTCACTGGTCTAATTGATCTGCTAGTTTTAGCTTGTATCAAAAGGGCCGAACTTCTTTCCACGACATAAAGAAATGCATTTTCACCTGCTGAATGCTAAAATAGAAACTAATTATTACCTTTTAATATTTTTTTTTCTGTCAGATGTGTTAAACACTGATTAACATAAAATTATCGTTTTCTCACATTACTAAACTTAGACAGTGCTGAAAGCCAACCATGTTAGGATTAGGGGTTGGGGTTAGGGTTAGGGATTGGGGTTAGGATTAGGGTAAGGTAAAATAAGATAAAATAAATAAATAAAATAGGTCCTGTCATGTATTTTTATCCGCCTTTCTGTCATCACCTTCATAGCAAATCTGTATTTTTTTAAATGAGAAATTGACTCTACTCTGTCAAACTATTAAGTTGTTAACTTAAGAAACTTATCAAGTGTTTATATTTGCAACAAAACCGCATAGAGAGAATTTTCCATCCCAAACCGGACTCAGTTTGGACCTTTCCTCTTCGGCGCTCTCTTTATGGTAGAGCGCCGCCATCTTTGTTTGCGTGTCAACGGCTCCGGTTCAGAAAGACAAGCGGCGCCCTCTGCCGGATGACAGCCACACTACAACAATAAAAGAAGATCTCATGGACCTTGTTAATGATTGGAATTCATTTTTATCAAATAAACAATTAATTGACAATCAGTTGTTTGAAATTTCTCTTCTGGATCATGTGCTAAATGTCAGAAAAATCAGAGATGATTTTATTTTTAAATATAATGTAGAAGTTTACATTCAATGAGATTAACAAATATTGTTTATAGTATTGGAGTCAAAGGAAAGCAAACCTGTGAATGCATTTAAGGCAACATTTCAATAACACACTCCTTCTTTGTATCAAAACAAAAAGATCTAAAGAAATTAGACCCTAGGAAGAGGATCAACATTTGTGCTTTAGTGTAATTTCGAGATGCATAATGATGCCACATTCATTTGATAAAACATCTGTTCAGGAAGTAGATCGATTCTCTGTCCAGTCTGTGTGTGCATTAACCCCAGAGTAAACAATTTTAAGGTGATGTTAGTATAATTTTACACTTTTCCACAGTGAAATGAGCCCTGTATCAACATGAACTGAGAAGTCGCTCAGGAAGGAAGAAGTCATCACTACAAAATGCAAAATAAAGGAAAAGATCCTTATTTTTGGTGGTTTGATGAAAGTAAGGTTAAAGTGTTTGACTATAATGACCAGGGACATGCTCAGATAGACACTAGGTGGTGCTAGAGAGCCTGCTCTGTTTTATTTTACTTTATTTTTTATAGTGTATTAAGCAGAATACAGTGCAGAATTGCTTAAGGCAGGGGCCAGGTTACACATTTGTTACCTTTAGAGGAAAATGAGGAAAATTGCATCCCAACTATGAAAGTCGGTGGCAGCATCATGTTGTTGTTTTCCTGCAATTGAAGCTGCAGTAATCTTTATTTTTTTAAATATCTTTTTTATATGTATTTGTTGAAACTATCACTATATTGTGATGTTCTAAGACAGACAAAAAAAATAGCTCTTCTGCTTTCTCCCAGTGCTAACTAGAATCAACCAATCAGAGTCAGGAGGTGGGTCTTAGTGCTGTCAATCACCACTCTTCACAGCTAGCAAAACCTGTTGTGAATGCTCAAGGTAACTAGCTTGCCCACTAATGACGGCAGATGCCCAGAAAGATTTCTCTGTCATTAGTACATTTAGCAACAAGTACTTGAGGATGATTGGCAGTGATAAGCCTGCCTCCTCCTGGCTCTCATTGGTTGTTTTTGGTAAAAAAAAAAAAAAAAAAAAAAAAAATTCAGAGTAGAAGTTGAAGATCTATCTTTTCACAGATTATCTGTTTCATTTTATTCTGTCAAGATATGGTGACAGTTTTAGCAAATATGTAAAAAATATATATATAATTAAAAGTTACATCCTGCAGCTTTAATTTGAAGAAAGTCATGTCAGATCCTGCTTTCAGTTTACAGTAGAACTGTACTTTAACATTCAAATTTCGACTGAAAAGAAGATGAAACTCTTGTTATTGTGGCACTTTGAATCAGTGTTTATACCGGCCCCCTTTGGGGACTTTGCAGCGCATCAAACACGACTTTAACACGCAACACAGACCTTTATGGAGGAGAGAGAGAGAGGGAAGGAAGGGAAAAACATAAACAAAGACAGAAAGCCTGCGCTGATTGCTTTGCAGCCAACCACAGGAGCTGCTGGCTGTGTTTTGGAGGAGGAGGAGGAGGGTTGGTTCGTGTCAGGGGAGCCGAGGTGAGTGGAGATGCGCCACTGCCCTCCGGACTCGCCCATCCCGAACCTTGCCTGGAGAAGTTGAGGTGATGCCGTTGCGAGGACCCGTCTCTGTTTTCTTTCACTTCTCGATTTTAAGATCCCCCCACCTCTTCCTCCTCCTATTTCTCTTCCTCTTCCTCCTCCTCCTCAACTTGGATGGCTGGAGCGGCTCGTCCTGCGCTCTTGCTCGCCGCCGCGGAGAGATGTAAGGTCTGGGCCGTCCACCGCCTCACAGTGCGCGGAGCAGCGGCGTGATTCAGGTCGCTATCTGACAGAAAGAGAGAGAGAGAAACACACACACAGAGAGAGAAATAGGAGGGTTAAAAAAAGAGGAAAAAACTACTTTGGAGATGTGAATGATCGCGGGTTTGCTGCTCATCCCACCAGCTCGCCTGTCCTATGCGATCGACAGCGGGATGTGAAGAGGAAAATGATTGGAGCATAAACTATTCCCTGTCACAGCTGCAGCCGCTGAAGTGGAAAGGGTGGATGGTTATTTCGCAAACACTTCAAGCCTATGTATACTACTGCATTCATTTGTTGGAAACGCTTCCTTGTATCTTCGAGAACAGCGCAGGAGGAATGCTGCTCCGAGATCTGATGCCATTTACTTTAAGTTTTTGGCCTTTTTTCATCGCTCATTGCCTCCTGTCACAGCTTTTACTCTCATGCAAGGTAAGCATCGCGTTGAGGTGCATGCAGGGGGGAAGCGGATCCGACTGGAGTTGGATGTTTAACTAACTTGCAGCGGTCTGTTTATGCTCATCGTGCTGCTGCTGCTGCTGCTGCTGCAGCTGCTGCAGCTGCTGCTCTCCGCATGTGGAAACAGTCTAGTTTTTCAAACATTTCTGGATATTTACTTTCAATTCTGACATTGCAGGGGGAAAAATGAAGCGATTGTTAATGATCATGAATGACGTTTATTGCTCAAAAGTAGGTTTTTGCATCTATCGCACAATGTCAATCTGTATTTTGAAGGTTTTCTCTGTTTGACACATTTAGTTTGATGCTCCTTATTGCTGAAATGGGAATAAACACCAGAAAGTCACAATATCAAATTTAACTGCACAATAAATTGCCCAAGAAGTTATTGCGTGAAACAATAATATCTTTGTTTTGAAATCATTTTCAAGTAATTTGGACAAAAAAACAAAACACATTTTGACAAAACATTTAACATTAGAACTGGAACATTTTAAATAAATAAAATAACAGAAACAACCAATAAAGTGAATAGTGAAGTCTCTGTAAACAAAATTATTTAAAAAGGGCTGGTTGACACCAAAGCACCACACTGTTGTCCTCCAGTTTTTGGTAGAAAGAGAGAAACAATGAATCAACAAAACATAATTTCTTGAGCTTGTTTCAATTTATTATAGTTGGTTTATTGTGACTGAAAGGTGCACCAATAAATCAACTTCGATTTCCTTCATGTAAAGCCAATATTAATCATCCATTGTCCTCTTTTTGCTCTGTTTGATTAGTCAAAAGTTTGACTAGACCACCCCATCAACTCATAGCTGCACAAACATTAAAACATAAGTAAACATGATTTTATTTATTAGAAAAGCTTGGTTATAAAAAGATGAATACTTTGTGTTGTGCTAAACTTTATGCACTGAAAAAAAAAATCATGTTGGCAATAGGGCTGAAACGATTCATCGAGTTAATCGTGAGGAATCAACTACTGGATCGATTAATTGGTATCAGTCAAAATCTGAATCGGCAGGTCAGGCTTGTTAAAGATTGGTAATCGGCCAGAAAGGTGCAATCGGTGCACCGATAGTAAAGAGAAGGCAAATAGGTCTCAAAAGAACTTAAAAACAGGTTTTCTTCTGTTCAGAAAATCAGGACATTCAGAATCACTGCTAACACAACTAATCCAAGCAAGTTAACCTCAAAAGCAGGCCGCAACATGCCAAAAGAAGTCTCTGTTAAACCTAAAATGTTATGAGGCTCTTGCTACTGTCAAGCTAAGTTTACGTTTTTTGGCACAGATGAAAGCTAAAGTTTTCTCAGGACAGTGGGCATGGTTGACGTAAACAAAAATTCAGCATTGCAGGAAAATAACCTCGACTCAGCTGGGAAATCTGACCACCTTCAGAGTCCCTCTAAAATGTTTGCTGAAAGAACAAAAATACTCAGCAGCAATTAAGTCATAACTGTATAAAAATATGAACAAAAGAAAAATTTTTACATTTTCTACTCAAAACTCTTCATGTGGCAACATTTTAGCTTCACCTGGTTCATATTCTGTAAGAAATAAATCTCTTATTAAGCACCTTTTGCTTTCCAATTATTAATTTGTTAATCAACAGCTTTTCATGTGTTGATGTTAGTATTTTTTTGCTGCAGATACATTCTTTGCTACAAATAATCAATCGTTCACTGGAATGTTGTTGGATTTTAGTTAATAAAATGTTTATAAAGAAGAAATACATTTGTTTATTTACATCTTTTAATGTATTTATATTGTGCAAACAAGCTTAAAATAAAAATTTGCAAAATGTGGCCATTTTTTTATTTGATTAATCGTCTGAATAATTGATATCAATAATTAAAGAATCATTAATTGTAGCCCTAATTATGTTTGTAATAATTTTACAAATTTGATTACAAATAAAAAGTCTCCATCTTCATCAACTTCCTATGCTGGTGCTGGACGGGTCACTTTTTATACACAAAAGCAGTCCAACGACCATAAGTGGCCCACGGGCCACACATTGGACATCCCTGTATTGGGGGTTTGGTGACAGTTTTTAGCTATTACTCACAGCTTTATTGAAATGTTTTGATTAATGAGTAAAACGTTAATTTTAGGGCTGAAACTATTGATTAACTTCACGATTAATCGATTAATCATGTAAAGAAAACTGGCACATTCTGAAGATTTTACATTTTAAAATTAAGCATTTTTTTCATTCAGTAAGAGAAATACATTAAATTATACAAATAAACACACAATTTATTTTTTAAATAAGAAAATAAACATTTCCTTGCCTTAGATGCAATAACACATTCTTCCTCTATAGGATTTGAACCAGGTGGAGCTAAAACTACGGTACTTAAATAGATTTGAGTGAAGCATGTTTACAAACAAAGGTGTTTCTTATATTTTTACATTTTTGTACAGTTTTGGCTTAATTACTGCTCTCATCATGTAGATTTTTCAGCAAATTGTGCACTCCAGTTAACAATTAATCAATTACTAAAGTTGAAGATTACTTTGATAATAATACTAGAATAATAATGATGAACGTTTATTCGTATAGCATGTTTTCAGCAACAGAACAGGTCTAAGATCAGATAGTCACCAATTATGAAACCAATTAATCACGATTAATCGTTTCCAATTAATTTGGGTTTTAGCCTAATTAAGAGATAATTTTTAAAATAAGATGAAATTAAGTATTGAATATTTAATTGTGTGTCCTAATTAGTCCTAATCAGCTCTCCTGTTCTGGGAACATGAAGTAGCCAGTTGTGTTTTCTGTTCGCAGCATTCCCACCAGGATCCCTGCAGCAGGCATATGTTACTGATGACTACTCTAACCTTTGCCCCTTGCAGCTGCCTACAGATAGTGGTGAGATGTTCTCCACATGCACGCAGTGTTGCCAGGGTTCATGTGTAATGTGATCTGCTCGAGTTTCCAAATCCACCCACGCACACTCCTCGGGGCAGCCTGCTGCCCACTCTGCTGGTGGGTGGTTTCTTACAGGGAGAGCAGCAGCAGCAGCAGCAGCAGCCGTCGACGTGATACTATTCTACACACACACACGCACGCACGCACGCACGCACACACACACACACACACACAGCAGCCCCAGTGACAACAGTGGAGCTGTGATGTGAAAGGAATGCTGAGAGGAGGAAATCCACGATGCTGCTGATGCTACTCCTGAGTAACGCAGTTTTTCTTCTTCTGCTTTCCCTCGCCATCAGGGAGAGATCCAGAGGTCATGCTCGTGGACGGTGGCGGAGAAAGTTGGCGAACAGTGCCAGGTGGCGTGCCACTGTAGGAGATACCCTCCCCTCCCTCCGCCTCCGCCTCCTCCGCCGCCTCCTCGGCTTCTGGGAGCCACAGGTAAGAACTGGAATCTGCTCAACTGGAATTAAAGAACTGGTTTATTTTATTTTCCTTCACGTGTCTTTTTATTGAATTTTTTTTTTAGAAATATTTTGATATATAGGGCACAAAATCGTGTTTAGTTGTCAAATTGTGACAGATTCTAACCCACAAACAAGTCAAAACACTGGAAAAATACAAAAAAGTATTTTGGAAAATAAGACAAAACTAACTCAGTAACTTTTCACCAAGATATAGGATTATATAAATAATCCTTTAAGTACTTGTTACACTACAGATTATTTAATTTTCCCATGTTTTAAATGAACAATCTGCCAGTGGAAGTAGTACTTTTCCATCAATATTGAGGAATTAGTTATTTAAAACAAGTTGTTATATCTTGCTGAAAAGTTACTTGGCAGTTAGTTTTGTCCTTCCAGTGTACTTATTTATTTACACCAGAAAATTCATGAAAACACTTGGTAAGATTTTGTTTTCTGCAGTGCAATGGCCAGAAAACACAATGTTTCACCAAGTATTTTTGTTTTGTTTCTTGTGCAAATATCTTAGTAAATATAAAATAAGACAAAAAAATGACTTAGAAGAAACTATCCAGAAAAATATAGAAGCTAGTTTTAAGAAAATAATTCCTTAATATTGATTTTAAAAAGTACTACTTCCATTGGCATATTATTTAACTTATAATATGGAAAAATGTATTTTTATAAGTGAAATAATCTGACACAGAAACTAGTAATTTTAAAATCCTTATGAATAAATTATTAACTTTAGATAATCCTCTGTATCTTGCTGAAAAGTTACTTGTAAGTTAGTTTCATCTTATTTCAGATGCACTAAAACATTTGTACTAGAACCTCGAGAAACGATAGTTGGTAAGATTTTGTGTTTTTGCAGTGTTCATCCTGATGTTGTCAGTTTTGCACCAGTTCTTCTTGCTGTAAACGTCTACACAGCATGATGCTACCACTCCCGTACTTTACAGCTGGAGTGCATGTTTCCATTTTTACCTCTGAACGTAACAATGATCATTATGACCAAACTATTAAATTTTAGTTAAATGAAACCACAGAATGTCTCCAAGAATTAACTGCAAGATGAAAGCTGGCTTAGTCAGTTTTGTCTTATTTCAAGTGATTAAACCAAAAATATGTGACAAGATTTTGTATTTTCGCAGAACAGACCTCAACAAGTTAGAACAAGTTTAAGGAAAATGTTTGGAGCTTTTCTGTTTTTGCGCAGGGGGAAAATGTACCATCATCCCCCTGAGATTAGTGCAATGAGTGCAGTTTTGCAATCCTGCATCTGTGCATGTAATAGAGCCAGCAGGATGCTGACAGCTGAACATGGGACTAATTTATGCAGGGTCTGACTTTAGGGAGCACCCAACTGTCTGAAAACTCACGCTCAGAGGTTCAGTGGTAGGGTTTTCCCCGTGAGGAGCCCCGCCGCCCCCGATCATAACACAAAGGAGTTCGTTTAATTCGCTAATAAGGTGCTAATGAAACAGTGCAGCAGTTCCACCCTCAAAGTTTAGCCGGCAGCATGAAGAGACCATGTTGGTGCTCATGCACACTGGGCTCTTACGGTACATCTGTGCTGATCTGGTGCTTGTTGCGGCAGTTTTCTCCCCTCATGGGGCCGAATCGTCTCACACTGTGAAGGTGTATCAGCTGGCAGAGTGAAAAGACCAGCAGAAACCAGATATTAACACAAAGCTGCACTGAAGCGAGAGTAACACCACTTAAACATTCAATAAATGTAAAGTGTTTGGTAAAAATGCAACTGATCAAAACATCAATTATTTAATATTTAAAAATCACATCATCAGACGGACCAAAACGTAAAGTTATGTCTAAATGTCTAAAGTGTTTTAAAGACTTTGATAAAAAAAACAACAACAAAAAAACAAAAACAATGAGCGCTTCCTTCCACAAGTGCTAGACTCTCACATTTGTTTTGGTTGTATTTACCCAGCATTCCCTGCGTTTGGAGCGGCCTCTGGTCCGCTTGGTGTTCATTCAGGCATTCAAACCGCACCAGATTTCACTTTAACCCTTCCAGCCAATTTGCAGCACCGTAACTCCGCCACACTTTGCGCCATCTGAAAAATTCCAACGGATTCTGAAAGGGGAGACGTTGCTCTTTCCAGCTGATATCGGGTTATTACGGTAATTGCACTCCCACCATAGCAGGGAGTGAAATTAAACTGAGGGGCGCTTTATTAAATTGCAAAAAATAACTTGCTAAATATTGAAAGTTCCAGTTTTTATGGATAAATGAGCAAATATATTTACTCACAAGACATTTAAAGAACTGCACACGACTAAAATAAGCAAAAACATTCAGACGGACATTCAAAATTTAAATATTAAAGGGTTAATCAAACCGAGACCGAGGTTTAAAGCAGACCAGAGTTTGCTTATTTGATCAGAATTCAATTACGCGTTCACACTTCCCCAAACGAACTGGACTTTCTACGCAAACAAACTAGAGTTTGGTTGACTGAACAGGGATGATCTGAATAAAATTAAAAAAAGAAAATACCCAAGAGTTTGGAGATAAATTATCATGTTTTGTCTTATTAATCTGAGCATTTCTTGCTGAAAGTTTATATAATTATATAATCTCAAGCATCCAGAAAAACAGAGTGTTGAATTATGGGACAGGCGGCGCTGATGATGCAGCCCTTCTGCGCTACACTTTGGAATCACTCACTTCTTCTCCCCGAGAAAAGAAGAGCACTTAATCAGTGGGTAGGAAGGTTTTAATCTATCACTCCCAATGATTTTCTTTCTGTCCGCTCAATGTAGATGGATCTCTTCCCCGCACTCCACACCCCGAGAGTTAAAAATCAAGAGTTATAGACCCTTCAGAGCTTGTTGTCAAGGTCACTGCATGAGTGCTGCCACGGCCATCTGACTGCAACCAAAGGTGGGGGTTTGAACGCCCAATTGTGCCCAGTGGCACATTTACCTTGCGACTGCTGCATCCGCATGTTTTCAGCGTCCAGCAGCAGCAAATCATAAAAAGCATGATAAGTGGTCCAATTTATATTCTCCCCTAACTTAACACAGAACTGTTTGCAGGAGGTGGAGACGGCATGAATAATTTATTTTAAGAGAGGCTTTTTTTTTTTTTTACTACAGAGAGGCATAATTATCTTGATATTCCCTGTGTAACCTGATTTGAAGAGGTCTTCGAGCTGAAGTTCTGTAGTCTTTAAAAATGCATCGAATATGCATGAAAAACTAGGACAATGACTGGGACCATATCTGTCTGCTAAAAAGAGGTAATGAAAGATCGGAGATTAAGAGTTTGTGCTAAAAATGGTTAATTCAAAGGACTCATCACGCTGCGGTAGATCCTTAACACCGGCTGAATTAGAGCCTTCAGCCGGTGACAAAACGCAGGATTAAAATGAGAGTTTGGCAGAGAAAAGCTTTTAAATTTACAGCGACTTATGACAGAGCCGCCGCTTCACTCCGGGGAAATGAGCTGCACTGGAAAATCAAAACTTAGAGAAGAAGTATTTGTTGTTTTGGCTTAAAAAACATCATATTCAGAGTTATTAGTTTATTGTTTAGGTTGTGTGATGTATTTCCAAGGTGATAAAGGGGATAAACATTTGCAATATGAGATTCTGCATAATGCGTAGAGAGAAGCTGGAGTTGCTGAGGCACGTAACGTTGCACAACATCCCGGTGAGTGGTCCGACTCCACAGATCTTATGTGGAAAGAGCAGGAGGTTCTTGCAACGGTAATTAGTGTAGACAAGAGTGCTGGTGTAAAGGGGGCTGACGGGTCCCTAAATGATTCATGGTGTCAGGCTGGATATCTCTGAACGCAGAACCTAAGACCTGCAGAACAGGCTCACATATTGGTTTGGGTAAAAAAAAAAAGCTTAAAAATTCAAATGTTTTATATGGTTTTCTGCATTTTGTTTAGAGCTGAAATGATTAATCGTGATTAATCGATTATTGAAATAATCATCAACTTATTTAGTAAGCAATTAATCATTGACTGAGTCAGAAAAATGTGATTTGGTGAAAAAACAACGCATTTAAAGCAGTAATTAATTCAAAACTGCACAAAAAATATTTACATTTTGCATTTAAAATAAGAAAAACTAAAGAAATTCTGTATAAATCCTAAAAACATTCAACAGATCAACCCTAAAATGTATTGATGTTAAGTCAAGCAAAAAAGATGCGAAAAGTATTTCTTTAGTTGCAGATGCTACAATTAATCACCAAAGGAAATCTATGTTTTCTCATTTCTCATTTAAAACACAAAAATAACTCATATTATAAATATGTTGTCAAAATAATGTTTTCCGGATGTTTTTCAAGCATTAGCATAAAATAAGCCTGAGTTTAAAGGACAATTTGTAGAATGTTAAATTGATTAATCAGCATAAATAATCAATTATTAAAATAATCCTTATTTTCTATAATTTAATTATTCCATATCTATCGTAAATCAACCCTTGTACATTTTAAAAATGTATTTCTAATATTAGCATAGAATAAGCTTAAGTGGTTAGACAAGATCTGCAGAATGTGACAATTTTTCATCTGATTAATCGTCAGAATCAACCGATTAATCGATTGCGCCTGTAAGTTTTCTTAATTTCCTCTCTCCTTTCTCCGTTTTCTCAGTGGCGGAGCCCATGGTGCCGCTGTTGAGGCCCTGGTGGAGGGAAGTGGACGTTGTCGTGCTTGGGACAGTGAGCTGTGCCTCAGTCATCTTCCTCCTTTCTGCCGTCATCATCTGCTACAAGGCGATCAAAAGGTTAGAGGAAACTCTTCTCATGCACCTTGAACCACCTTGCAGCTGAAATGTGCCATTCAAATAAACCTGAATGATTGATTGAACTCTTCCTGTAAATGTTCAGAAATTGTTGTTGGTAATACTTTATTTGATGGGGTGTGAATAAGACTGACTTGACACTGTCATGACATAACACATAAAACCTGTCATGAAGATGAACGAGTCTTTGTTCACGTCTGCTGTCATGAAGTGTCATTTGGTAAATAATGACACTTTCAATGCAAAGATTTTAACAGACTTTTAATGCCACTTTACATTAAAAGTGTCATTATTTGAAGGTACTTTCATTTATATGGCACATTTTCAGTAACAAGGCAATTTAATGCCTGATTTACAGGAATTAAAAGGAAATACAAACAAAATGACCAAAAAAAAAAAACATTTTTAATGTTGATCCAAAGTAAATAAACTAGATAGTGTCCCTTTCGGACATCTTGCATTGGCGTTTTTCTTTTTGTTGCTTTTGGACGATTTTAATTTTTAATTTTTGCTTTACTTTGTTTTGGACAGAAACATAATTACATGTATGTTTCTGTCCAAATAAATTCCTAAATGCAACAAAATGTTTTTGTTTTTTTTTTGGTTTAAATTCCAATATTTGAAAAACTAAAATAGAAATTGGTCCTAAATTGGATTTCAAAACATTTTGGGTTTCTCCCCAAAACAATTTAATTTAGATCTTCCAGGCGTTTCCACTGTCCAACATATAATTAAGCCGGTCTTCATAAGCAATAAATGAACTATACTGCAGAAACTCAAAAATGAACAATTAAATTTGGTCCAGTTTATAGTGTAAATATCTTATTACACTTGAAACAAAACACAACTAGATGACAAGTCATTTTTCAGCAAGAAATATGAGCTTATTTTAAGTAAATAATTCCTTAAAAGTATTAGCAGATTGTTTTACTTATAATAAGACATTTTCCCACGTTAGAAGTGAATTTGTCTGCCAATGAACTAGAACTTTTTCATCATTATTAAGGAATTATTTTCTTAATACAAGCCTCTGTATATTACTTTTCAGTTAGTTTACTTGAAATAAGACCAAACTAAGACATTTACACTAGAAAAAAGACCAAACAACTTGGTAAGATTTAATGTTTCTGCAGGGTAATCCATTTAATTTATGGTATCTGTTGTGTGTGGTTTTATCTCTGTTTTATGTATCATTTTTGGTCATTTTTGTTTTATTTATTATGGGTATTTAAAATAGTTCCCAGTTCCAGTCTATTTACCCAGAATGCCCTTCTCTGGTGTCCCTTAGAAAATTCTAATTTATTGATTTTTGAGAGGACAAATTTGCATTATTACACCATTATCATCAAATTAGTAGAACATTGTAAAAACAACAATATTATTGTTTATTGCCAGCAATTTTTTTTTATTGTGACAGGCCTAAATCTAAAGGCAGGATTTTATTAAATGCTTTTTTGACCTTTGCCACTCTGCTAAAGACACAGACGTCTCAAAGGACACAATAATCAATCGCTACAAGCCCTTAAAAAACACCAACTTCCTTCTGAAGTCTCTCGGTTTCTAGTTTTTCTGTCATGTCTCAAAGTCTAGACTGAAATGATGGACAGAGTCCAAACGCAGATCAGATCGATTAAGTAAAATAAATCGTTAAATAAACTGCAACGGAGGCAGGAAATCCCACATCAACAGAGGAGAGCAGATCTATTTAACACACAAACGACGAATAATAATTTAGTATTTAAAAAAGGACACATTACAGTGTGATAATTAGAAAAACTGGGCCCAGAATAAAGAAACAAAACAAAACACAAGTTATATAATTAAGAAGAGGAGATCCACTGGCCTGTTCTTCAGCGTGATTAACCAAAGAGCAAACACAGCAAACAAAATCGCTCGGAACAATTTCCATATGTGACTAATGCTTTGGAGCCGGCTTTGTGAATGTGAACAAAAGAGGCAAGAATTGGGATCCCAACACAAAGCATTCTGAGCTTCCTTCCCATTCGGCGAATTAAAAGATAAAAGTTGAGCTTAGCGCCTGCAGCAGCAACAGATTCAGACTTTGTTTTGAGCGGCTTTAGCTACGAGTTGTCACACAAATTCTCTGACCTCCAGATAAATGTACAACCAAAGGTTGTTTACATTCTGCTTTTTAGTGAAAAATATACATAATTCTTCTGTTTTTACAGGTTTTTTTTGTCACATTTACCCCATAAATTTATGTAATTAGACAAAGATAAACCTTTTCAAATAATTTAATTGATTTTCTATTCTCTGTTCATCTCATGAATTTTAATTTTGCTTTATTTTAGGATTTGTCTGTCCCTGCTGTTTACATTCAGTTCATTCCTTTGAGATTTATGTTTATTCTTCATTTATAAATCTACTTTGAAAACGTCTTTTCTGTTGTTTGATTCTGTTCTCCTCAAACCTTTTGAATCTGCATCATTTCTCCTTTTGTGTTTGTTTACATTTCTGTTTTCTTGTTTTTGTGTTATTATGATCATCAAGTTTATTTGATGAGTGACCTGAGCGTTCTGGAAGGCTGAGACAACAAAAGCATATTTTTTATACATTTTGGTGCTAAGCTGTGATTCATAAACTTCCAAGTTTGACTAATGTTTTAAGCAGACCTGTGATAAAACTGTCACAGTAATCAATAAACACACAGTTGAATTAGTCCTTTAATTGTGGAAATGTTCTTCAGGTGATAGAAGGCTGACTTTGTAACCGTCTTTATGTGGCTCTGAAGGTTCAGGACTGCTAGCTTCCAGCTGTAATAAGTGAATCTCTCGATTGTTTCTCTTGAGTTTAGAGTCAATTGGTGACATTATAATATAGAGCTGTGTATCATCTGCATAGTTATGATAGCTACTCTTATAACTTGTTATAACTTGAATTAACTGGAACATATTAAATGGGCCCAGGATTAAACCTTGGTGTACCCCATATGTGACTTCTGATGAAGTTACCCTCATTTCTTCTTAGTCCACGGATCTTAAAGCTCTTTGGGATCATTAAAATGTTTTTTTTTTTTTTTTTTTGCAAATGTGAGAAGTTTCTTTGTTTTAGTCTTCTAGCTCAACCATGGATGTCACTTTTCTCTCCTTCTTACTGTTGAAACATGAACAGTAAGAATTGTATTTTCCATGTTTTGGTTTTTTTTAGGGTTTTAGGGTTAGGGTTAGCCCATCAGTGGCCTCCTCCAGGAGGAGTCACTGATGGGCTTTTGGAGTAATTTTCAATGGCAGGCCACTTCTGGGAAGGTTTCATGTTTTTCTATTTGTAGTTTATGGCTCTCACTGGGGTTCGCTGGAATCCCAAAGCTTTAGAAATGGCGGATAGATGTCTGTCTGTTTCTTAACTGTTGTGGTGTTTTCACATCTGACAGTCTGGTAGACTCAATTCAATTGGGAATCAAAATGGCTACATTTTTTTACATTTTCAGCTGCTGAGGTTTAATTTCTAAGTCAAACAAACCAAACTATTTGAAAAACCTGTTCCCCTCCTCGCCTGTGGCGGCGCTGCATCAAGAACAACAGGAAGAAATTTCACAAAAACCTCAAAAGAATACATGAACGCAACTTTCTTCTTCATGGAATGTCAACAAAAATGGAGAGGTGTAAAATTTGAGCGGTTTTCTCTTTTATCTCTGAGCCATTTCTCTCCTGCTGGTGGTTCTATTTACCCAGAATGCCCTGCTCTGTCCACTGGGTGTAACATTTACTGTAGTTGGTTTTATTCTAAGTTTTCTCTCTTGATAAATGAAATCATAATTTTAAACCTACTTTTACTCAGATTTATCTCATACTAAAGTAACTGATATGGAACAGAAGAAAACTATGACTCAGCAAAAACTGCAAACGCACTCATCTCTAAACAAACATCTCACACACATACATGCATAATTTGGCAGATTTACACTCTCAATAAAACATGGAGCAAGCATGGATCTGACACTTCCTATGAGAAAGGCTGTCTGCCTTTAAATTAGGAGCTATTCTGTAATCTATTTATGCAGTTTTAAAGATATTTACTTTCATTCCTCTGCATATTTATGGACGTGAATTAAATGTGCTTTCCTCAGCAGAAACCTGTTCCACCTCCTCTTTATTTAAAACAACAAATGGGCGTGGAAGTAATGGGTGGTTGCCTCAGGAATTCATTAAGGCAATTCTCCGTCCTCCCGTAGCCAACAGGCACCATTTTTAATGCAGCAGTGGTAAGAACGTGCCTTGACAATACGAGCCGTGGCTCCAAACCCACGCCATTATTTATGGATTAATTTGCGCAGTCATTCAGTGGCAGATCACATCTTTTATACATGCAAGAAGCAGGTTGTGTCCTTGGGCTGCGGCGGCTCCAGACTGCAGGCTTCATCATGCTCCGCTCCAGATTGCGTCATTACGCATTCATCAGCCACCAGCCGCGAGGTGAGCTGGTCGGGTTAAAGTGTGTCGCCATGAGCGCTCTCGTCGTCCACAGGAAAGGACAGATGTGATGTGTTTACTGAGCAGGGGCGTGTCTAGATTCCTCTCTGTGGGGGGCCACAGACCGCAGAAGGGTGGTACAATAAAATTTAATTTACTGCAGTTTTAGATTGCTAACAAGATTTATTTACTTAAACAAAACACATGAAAACTGTGCAGTAGATTTGTTTGTTTTCCAAAGTGGAGGCCTCAGAAATTTGAAAGTAAGATGAGAAAAAAATCTTTAAATCAGACATTATATTTTTTTTAAAATACGTTTTTCAGTCACTTTTTAATGTATAAGTTAGAATAACTTATTGGAGACTGAAACGGAAAAATTAAATAGTCTTTATCGTTATTTGCCATGTTCATCTTTGATTAACTGCCAGTGAAATTTCAACAAGTTGCTTTGAAATGACAAGAAAAATATGAAAGGACACGACTGCAAAAAAACTAAACTGCAGCGATTAAATAAAATCTGATAGGATTAGCAAATGGTATAAAAATACTACA